TTGCAGCCGAGCCTCGGTGGTTCCTTTGCACATTTTTGGAACGAGCCCCCTCTTCCGCCCACGCACACAGCAATTTGCAGCTGATCGGAACTTGGATGTTTCTCTTGGAAACTCCTTTTGATCAGGGTGATCAATGTACAATATGGAGGTGGGTCAAGAATGTGGTTCTCCTCTTTGCAAACAGGTTCTTGGCCAATTCCATGTTTGTTGTGGTTGCTTCTCGCCCGAACAAAAACAAGGGTCGCTCAAACAACATGTGTTTTGACCGACTACATACAAAGGTGCCCTGCCCAGTGCCATGCCCAGTGCCCTGCCGCTATTCTCAGTATGCATGATGACCCCCAATAAGGCGTGTCTCAGTCTGGAAACACGTCTCCGACGCCGAGCCCCCGGCCCCAGCCGATCAGGTCCGTTTGTCAGGCCCCAGCCTCGGCTTCGGCTGGGTGGCCATCTTAAATGCCGCTTTGGGTTTCTTTTCGGCCTTTTGTGTCTTCTCTTTGTTGAACCGACGTGGAAGGTTATGACTTGGGCAGCGATTCTTCGCCGGAACGCCCCATGGCGGAGACTTCCCTTGGGAGGTGCGCAGGACTTCGAGTGCTTCCCAACGGGATCATCGAACACTGTGCGCAGGACTTCGAAGAAAAACTGAGCTTCTTAGAGATCAACGTGGATCGGAGGGTGATCACTGCAGCCTCTGCTCCGTGTTCTGACCTGGTTGGCCAAAAGTTGGAGGAGGTGTTCCCAAATGAATTCACCTGGCAGATTGTCTGTGGCATTTGTGATGAAGCCAAAGGCTTCATGGCCACAGCTGTTCCCAAAGCTTTGCCCGACCAAGTGGCGGCCTTCAACGAAATGCCCATGTGCTTCGGCACACGTGTCGTGGGGATTTCTGGACTCATGCGAGTCTGGCTGACAGAGGCGAGGCAATTTCGTGTGGTCTTGAGTTTTGCCCTGCCGAAAGCGAACTCAGTGTCACTCTAAAGCAAGCTCAGTAGATGAGAAAAAGGAGCCTCAGGGACCATGGGACCATGAGCCTTTACATATATGTTTAATGCTTGGTTGTGACAGTGCACATTCCTGCATTCCAACTATGCATTTAAAGACTTGAACGTTTCCAGCTGTATGTTCCCCAGTAGTTGATTCAATTATGCGGTTGTCTTTGAAGGCTCAAATAAACCAAGAACAACTCCATGGCCAAGGCTGAGGCCGTTGTAGTAGAATTGTCAAAGGAAGTTTAGTGTACAAAACTTCCGTGTTACGGACATTCAAGAACTGTTCATACACCACTCATCAATACACCACTCATCATACACCACTCATCATACACCACTCATCATACACCACTTATCATACACCACTCATCAATACACCACTCATCAATACACCACTCATCATACACCACTCATCATACACCACTCATCATACACCACTCATCATACACCACTCATCATACACCACTCATCATACACCACTCATCATACACCACTCATCATACA